AGAGCCGCCACCAGTGGGACGGGGCTTAGCTTTTGTTAGCTGCTTCTTTGATGCTTCATGGGCAGCTGGCATTTCTGTTGCTGGTTTCTACTCTCTCAACCCTAGTGGACCCTGCATTTTCTCCCCTGAGTGTCCTTATCTTTCCAGATGCAAAAAAACCCGTGTGCTATTGTTCCTGCACTTCTCCCTGTCCTCATCTCTAAACATCATATGTGTGCAGAGAAATCACACTTGTTGCTCTGTTGTCTCAAAGGGTTTAGGCCTGAGTTTGCTGAGGTGATTATGAAGGTTGTGTGAAGCTGTGTCAAACATTGAGAGACATACACACAGGCTGTAGCAGATGTGTGTTATTCTCTCAATGCATGCACTGATGATGGGGATTTAGAATGAGCCACTGTGCAAAGGATGCCCCAGAGAGACTATTCCCTATACATTATTATTCAGTGTAAGATATCCAATAAAGCAACTGGATAAAGAAATGCCTATATCTAAACCTAAAATATTCACTCCCTCCCAGAGTTAACTTCCTTCATCCCTGAGAACAGGCCATCCATGGAGTCACCAAAATGCACTTTTTAAAAAGTGTATTCACACTACACTTCATCTTCATGCTCCTTTTCCCCTTGACAATGTGTTATATGTTGAGAATCTTTAAATAAAACTCCTCAACCACCAAAGAATTATTTCTCCCTATTTCTATTCATTAGTACTTCTTATCTTGAAGGCTGATTTCAATGATCATTTATCCCTCACAACTTCATATAATTTCTTCCTTTTAGAATCCCACTGAATATCATTTATATTTATCCCATGCTGCTTTTTTATTCTAGTTTATATTATTACTTGTGAACTTTCCTAATCTCCTCTCCCAAACACACAAACCCTTCAGCGACTTCCATGGGAGGCTCTCTTATCTATTACTCTTCACATCCCCAGCCATGGGATATGCAGGAGACACTAATAGATCTAGTATATCACACAGGAAGCAGATCACTAGGACAACAATTACAAACAGCAAATCCCAGTATCCACTAAAGACAGTGACAAGGATAAAAAGACAATACCTGAGAAGGAGGTAATAAGTATTCATGAAGAAGAATTTCTTAAGCCTCAGCATCTTAGCAGCTATAGCAGAATGCCATAACAAAGACAAAAATATTTCGAGTGTGAAGTTACACCATAACATACAAATGCATCTGTCAATGAGGCCATTAGAAATCTTTCAGACCAAAGGTCCCAAACACCCACTATAACTTTCTCATTTAATAGGGCACGTGTGGGGAAACTGTACTGTTCAAAAGCACTCCTATCAGGAAAAGGCAAAAAAAGTCCCCTCACGACTCCTTCTCAACACTGTACTGGACATTCTAATATAAGACAAAAAAGGAACTAAAAGGTTGGGTGCAGTGGCTCACGCCTGTAATCCCAGCACTTTGGGAAAACGAGGAGGGTGGATCACAAGGTCAGGAGTTTGAGACCAGCCTGACCAGCAAGGTGAAACCCCGTCTCTACTAAAAACCTAAAAATTAGCCAGGCATGCTGGTGCATGCCTGTAATCCCAGCTACTCAGGAAGCTGAGGCAGGAGAATCACTTGAACCCAGGAGGCAGAGGTTGCAGTGAGCCGAGATCCCACTACTGCACTCCAGTCTGGGTGACAGAATGAGACTGTCTCAAAAAAGAAAAAAGCAAAAAAGTATACAGTTTGGGAAGAAAAAAAATAAACTATCTTTGTTTACAGGTGACATTATTGCCTATCTTAATTCCCAAAGAATTGACAAATACTCTTCTGAAACCACTAAACAATTATAGCAAGGTTGCAGAAGACCAGATTAATATACAAAAGTCAACTATTTTCCTATATATCAGAATTCAACAAGTGATATTTGAAACTAGAAAGCACAGTACCATTTACATTAGCAGCCCCCAAAATGAAATACTTATGTATAAATCTAAGAAAATATTTATGAGTCCTATATAGGAAAACTACAAAACTCTGAAGAAAGATGTATAAATAATAAATAAATAAATAAATAAAGTGATATTCCATGTTCATGAATACAAGGACTCAATATTGTCAAGACATCAGCTGTCTGTCCCCAAATTGATCTAAACATTCAATGTAATCCCATCAAAATTTTACTAAATTATTTTGTGGATATTTTGTGGACAAACTGAATCTACAGTTCATATGAAGAAGCAAAAGACCCAGAATAGACAACTCAAAATTGAAGGAAAAGAACAAAGTTAGAGGACTCACACTACCTGACCTCAAGACCTACAAGAAATCTGCTACAGTAATCAAGACAGTGTGGCATTTATGAAACAGGCAAATGGATCAACGCAACAAAATAGCACAGAAATAGACCACCACAAATATAGTAAGCTGATGTTTGACAAAGGAGCAAAGGCAATACACGGGAGAACATGCAGTCTTTTCAACAAATGATGTTGGACATCCACATGCAAAAAAATAAATCCAGACACATATCTCACACTTTTCATTAAAATTTACTCAACGTGGATCAAAGGCCTAAATGTAAAACACAACACTACAAAACTTATAGAAAATAAGAGAAAATCTAGATGATCTTGGGTTCAGTGATCTATTTATTTATTTTTATTTTTTATAGTGATTACTGTGTTCCAGGATATTCTAATTTACTAATTTTTATTTTAATTTTTTTCTGTCTGGTCTCTGATTTTTTAATTTTAATTTTTATTTCAATTGTTTTGGGGTGACAAGTGGTGTTTGGTTGCATGGAAAAGTTATTTAGTGGTGATTTCTGATATTCTGGTGCACTCATCACCAGAGTAGTGCACATTGTACCCAATGTGTGTAGTCTTTTATCTCTCACTCCCCTCCCATCCTTCCCCGAGTCCCCAAAGTCCATTATATCATTCTTATGCCTTTGCAGTGACTTTTAAAATACAACATCAAAGGGATGAGCCATGAAATAAATAATTGATAAGCTGACTTCATTAAAATAAAAAAGCTTTCCTTCTGCTAAAGACAATGTCAAGGGAATGAAAAGACAAGCTACAGACTGGGAGAAAATATTTACAAAGACACATCTAATAAAAGACTCTTATCCAAAATACACAAAGAACTCTTAAAATCGAACAATAAGAAAATGAACGACCCAAATAAAAATATGGACAAAAGACCTGAAAACACGCCTTATCAAAGATATACAGATCGCAAACAAGCAGAGTAAAAGATGCTCAACGTCATAGACTTACGGAATTTCTATTAAAACAATGAAATAGCATCACACACGATCGCAGTGCAGTTGAGCTTCCCCCAGGCACACTGTTCCCAGACTTGTGCAGGGCTGGTTCCCTCACTCTTTGCCTTTCTGTTTGCAGCACAAATGCCACTTCACTGAGGTGTTGAGGACTCCCTCACTCTGTCCCTTCCGCCTCCCACCACAAGCACCTGCTTTATTTTACTATAGCACCTGCTCTTTCTTTTTCTCATGCATTTGCTTTTACGCTCTGTCCATCCATTCCTCCAAACGGTGAGCTCCTGAGGGCAGGGCCCATGCAGGTCATTTTCAGCACTGCACCCTGGTCTAACTTGCCCCTTGCACAGGTGAGTGCTCCAGGCACAGTTTCTGAATGAATAAATGAGAGTATCCAAGAGCCCCCTTCCCACCTGTGAGGAGCTCACATTGTGGGGATGGATGCTACTCACAGGAGATGCAAGTTGGGTGGGAGGCAGGGGGACCCTGGGAGTTTCTCTGGCTGCAGCTGCCCCACTGAGCAAAATGGGCACCGCCTCCCCTGATGGCCAGCACTGGCACTGCAGACCCAGGCGAGGAACCCAGAAACAAAGCCCTCACCTGGGTGTGGGTGTCCTCAAGGCAGTAAGACTCTCAGGGCTGAGGGGGGCAATGAAGGGGAGCTGTAAACTCCAGGAGAGATGAGAGGGGTGTCGGAAGGTTCTCTTGACCCCTCTTTCCCTCCACTGGCCCCGGAGGAGCACAGTCCACTCATAAGGGGGGTGTCCAGTCCACCCCATCCACTTCCAAACGGGAGCCCGAGGCTGCAAGCAAGGACACCCCACTCCACATGCAGGGTTCGGCCTCTCCTGCACCACCCAGGACCCCCGCTGTCCTGCAAGCCCAGCTGCTCTGGGCCGGGAAGGACCCCAGGGACTGGAAGGCCTTTTCCAAGGGCACGGTGGGTCCCTGACGGGGAACCAAAGCCAGGCACGCTTCTCCCAGGCTGGGGGCCTCAGGGCACCTGAGAATGGCCATCCTTGGTACAAGGGGGTGGGGCCCCACTCCCGCGCGCCCTGTGGCCCAGGGGACGCAGGACTCTGCACCCTGACCCTAGAGCTTGCCCTAGGATGGCCCGGCCATGGAGATGCCCTGGAACGGTGAGGACTCTCTCCCCATCAGCCTGGCACCTCTGCCCTACCCTCAGTCGCGTGTGAACCCTGTGTGAGGCAGAAGGCAACCAGGACGTCACGCCTGCGTGAGCGGCAATGCCAGCCAATTGGAAAACCTTCCCCGCGCCTGCGTGGCTCTGCAAGCCAATCGAAAACTCCGTCGTGCATGCCGCCAGCCAATCAGGATGTCCAGAGCGCAGCGCCTCCAGCCATTTGAAACTCCCGCTGGCTCTGCGCCTCCAGCCAATCAGGATGCCCGTCCTTGATAAAACCAGCCAGTCAGAGTGCCGGCCGCGCAACAGCAGCAGCCCGTCAGGAAGCCCAGCGTTCACGCTTCCAACCATTGTCGGACTGTCAACCGTCTACAGGCGCTTCCAGCCAATCGCAGCCGCCCGTCGCCAGCGCGGCGGTAACTGGCGCGGCGTCTCTGGGTAGTCGCGTGCGGGGCGGCGGGGCGGCTGGCGGCGGCGGCCATGGGAGATATCCCCGCCGTGGGCCTCAGCTGCTGGAAGGTGACGCGGACGCGGCAGGGAGGCGCGCCGAACCTAGGGGAGCGCGGGACTTGGGGGCGCCCGACGGGGTCCAGGCCGGGGCCGGGGAGAAGTGTGGCGGCCTCCCCTCCGCCTGGCCGGCGCCCGCCCACCGCCCACACGCGGCCGGGCCTGGCCTTTCCTAAAACCGAGTCGGTGTTGCCCGCGGAGGCGCTCTCCGCGCAAGCGGGGACTGCGGCAGCCACGCGTCAGACTCGGGGGCTGCAGCCGCGGCGTTGGGCCGAGCTGCTCGGTGGAGAGGCCGAGCCCCTGTAGTCACTCAGAGCTGGAGCGGGGATGCAGAGTGGAGGCCTTGGCGGCGCTGGACTCAGCCTGAGCAGGGAACCTCGAAGCCTCCTCTCCAGTCATGAGAGAAAGAAAAGTTGGGGCCCGGCGCGGGGTGCGGGCTTGGAATCCCAGCACTTTGGGAGGCCGAGGCGGTAGGATCGCCCGAGCTCAGGAGTTCAAGACCAGCCAGGTCAACATGGCGAAACCCTGTGTCTACCAAAAATGAACAAATCAACTGGGCTTGAGGGGTGCGCGGCTGTGGTCCCAGCTACTCAGGAGGCTGAGGTGGGAGGATCACTGGAGCCCAGGAAGTCGAGGCTGCAGTGAGCTTTGATGGCACCACTGCACTCCAGCCTGGGGCACAGAGCCAGACCTTGCTGGGAAAAAAAAAAAAAAAAAGGAAAATTGGAATTGCTGATTAGGCTTTAAAGGAAACTTTGGGACCTCATGTTCCTCCCTGTTTAGAAGTAGCCCGTCCAGATGCCTGAGAAAAAGGACATATTATCGCTCTGTGCATTTATGGGGGGCACTGCAATGTTTTGAGACGTGTGTACAATTGCAGCGTGGTTAAATCAAACTAATTAACATATCCATCACTTCTCTCAGGTATTATTGTTTGTGGTGAGATGTTTGAAATGTCTTATTTTGAAATACACGTGTAGTAAATTATTGTTGACCTTTGGCATCCTAGTGTGCAGTAAGTCTTAAAAGCTGTGTCTCCTGTGTGTTTGAAACTTTGTACCGTTTGATGAGCAACTCTCCATTCCCTCCTTCCTCACCTCCCCCAGCCCCAGCCTCTTATAACCACCATTCTATTCTATGACCTTTCTCTACTTTGAACTCAATTCCTGCCAGTGATTTGAGACAGCACTAAAAAGCGTTTAAAATTTCATCTTTTTTTTTTAAAGCTAAACTTCATTGTTGATAAAAGCTATAAGAAGTCACATAGGAAGTTAGTTACTGAGGAGTCAGAATGCTCAAGTTCTGCTCATGAAAATATTATTTAAATTATTTCTCCTACTTGCTTACCAACTCTTAGAGGCTAGGAGTGTCATTCTGTTCATATTGGTTCTCAGCATCTAGTAAAGGACGTGCATCTGGCAGCCATTCATTCAGGAAGCACTTGATGGATTAAACTGTTGAGTCTCTTGCTTCCCTTTACTTATGCAACAATTTGGTGCAGGAGTCCAGACTTCTGTGCACACAGGATAAGGAAAAATTAGTGAAAACTGTGCTTAAGCGGTCAAAATATTCTATTTCTTTCTTGGACTACAGGTGCATCAAATTGGATTAATCACAATCACTCATCACTGGTCTATGCAAAGGCTTATTTTTACTTGGCTATTTTTAATAGTGAATGAACATCACAGATCTATCAGTTATCTGTTGCCCCAGAAATGCTGCATCAATGGCCAAACACCAGACCTTGGTGGTGTACAGCAGCAAGTGTGTACCTCCTGCATGGGAGGTCAGGAGAGCAGCTCTGTGGACCTTAGCTGGGCTCCTTCACTTGGGAGTTGGCTGGTCTCAGTTGGGATGGTTGGGGCCACTCCACTTGGCTCCACACACCTCCTGTCCTCATGCGGCTAGTTAGGGAGTGTTCTCAAGATGATGACTGAAGCACAAGAGAGCCAGGGGAGCCGTGAGATGTCTGGAGACCTCAGCCTGGGCTCTTCATTATTAGGGGCCATTTGATCCATCTGTGTGCCTGATCAGCGCTGTCTTAATTACTACAGTTCCTTGATAAGCCCTCATACCTAGTAGGGCAGGTCACCTCTCTTTGCTCTTGTAGATTTACAGTGTACAATTTGATGAGTTTTGACAGATGCGTGTACCTGGGTCCTGGCTTTTTATTTTGGCACCTTACTCTCCACTGTAAGTTTTAGAACTAGCTTACAAGTTTCCGTGGAAAACTTTATTGGGGTTTTGATTGGAGCTACATTAAATCCGTCGACCAACTTGGAGATAATTGACATCTTTGTAATATTAAATCTAACTTTTCTACAAGCATGATATTCTTCTCCGTTAATAAATTGTCCTAAATATGATTCATTTCTAACATATTTTCATATGGTTGTATAGTTTTTCCTGAGGAGAATATATGTCTTTTGTTGGAATTATTCTTGGGTTCTTGATAGTGTGTTATACTACTGGAAATTATATTTCTCTGAAATTACGTTTTCTACTTGTTTCACCTGCTATATTCATTACACTTCCAGCCACTTTACTAAACTGTACTATTATTTCTGTTAATTTGCCTTACGTTTGTTTGAATTTTCTACACAAATGATCATATCATCAGCAAATAATGGCAGTTTACTTTCCTTTTTTTCCAGTCTTTAAGCTTAAAATTGCTGCTTCTTAGTTGTTTAGGTGCTTCTGGAAAGCACCTCCAGCACAGTGGCTGTTCTTGTTTTGTACCTGATTTTAAAGGATGTAGGATGGGTTTTTTTAAATATTGATACTCTATCAGATTAATTTTTTCCCCCAACTTACTGGGAATTTAGATTTTGAATCTAAACTGGTATTGAATCTTAACAAATATTGATTGAGATTACTTTTGTTTTTGTATTTTAATCTGTTAATATTGATGAATTACAGATTTTCTAATAACAAACCATCCTTAGATGTCTGAGATACACTCAACATGGGTATGGTATATTATCTTTTCATAAATATTGTTGCATCCAATTTGCTTTTATTTTACTTAAGAATTTTGCAACGGTATTCACGAATAAGATGAATGTGTAACTTTTAATATTTTTGTCTGATTTTGATTTCAAGGTTATGCTGGTTTTGTAGAATGAGTTAAGTCCGTCTTTTTCTGTCGTTTGCAAGTTTATGTTAAACTGAGATGATTTCTTGAACATTTTATGAAACTTTGGTGGTTTTCTCTTTTTTTTCAAATTACTTCCTTTCTCTAATTATGTAACTATTCAAGCTTTATTCTTGAGTTAAATTTTTCTAGGAATTTTCCCATTTTATATCATTTTTCCAAATTATTGACATATAGTTTTTGGTAATATTTTCTTTTAAGTCCATTTTATCTGCATGTTTTACTTTCTATTCATGTCAGTTTTTTGAAAAATTGGCCTCTTCATCAACCTGACCAGAAGTCTGTTTATTTTACTGAAGTTTTTCCAAGAACTGATGTCTGGTTTTGTTGATCTTCTCTGTTACATCTTTGTTTCTATTTTATTGATGTTATTCTTAATCATATTTTTATCTTTCCATTCAATTTCTTGGGTTCTTTTTCTAACTTAAGATGGATACTTGGTTCATTAGCTTTCAACCACTCTGAATCTGTTGCCCATAAAATGAAGATAATTATGCTGCTTTAACTTCTAGGATTACTGTGAAGCTCCAATGAGAAAGTGCTTTGTGAACTATAAAGCCCTTGTCAGTCTTCTGTTTAATGTGATTGCAAGCCCACCCACCCCCATGGTCTTCCCTAGTTCTAGTTCCTTCCCTTGCCTGAGCTTCATTTAGAGTGACTCTTCTCTTTTCTAAACTACCTTATGGCTTATAGCATCATACATTCATTTGGGTTTGTTATATGCTTCTTTTTGAATGGATACCTTCATGTGAGTCTACACCTCAACCTTTATTATTGGACGCTGTGGAATCTGAGTGTACAGGATGAATCTTAAGCCTCTTTGCATCTCAGTTATTATTCATTCTACACTTTTTTATTGCTTTGATCATTCAGAAAGCACACCATGTAGCTCAGTTTTCTGCAGACACTAAAAATAACCTATAGTTTTTTTCCCAAAATATGTAAAGGAATTGGAACTTAGATTATTCATAAATTACTTCATAACTCTGACATTACCTGTTTTTAGACTGATTATACTAGTACCAAATTAGTGACTTAATTTTGTATGTATTATGTGGTCCACATGCTTGGGTTAAAGGGGAGATTTGTGTTGGGTTCCTCTGACTGTGGGAAGACACTTTGTTGGTTTTGCAGGCTTCTCCGGGGAAAGTGACTGAGGCAGTGAAAGTAGCCATTGACGCAGGGTACCGGCACTTCAACTGTGCTTACTTTTACCACAACGAGAAGGAGGTTGGAGCAGGGATCCGTTACAAGATCAAGGAAGGAGCCGTAAGACGGGAGGATCTGTTCATTGCCAGTAAGGTAGGGCTTCTCTGTGCAAGGCTGGCAGAGCTTGGGTAATGCTACATCTCGGGAGGGCTTTCTACTTTCTTTATGGGAGTTGATGACTTTGTTTCATACTTGAATCAGAATAAACAAGAATATTCACAGCTTCATGAGCATGCTGAATTATATTGTGTGCAGGTTGGTTTCATATTATTTACTTGGTCATTCAGGTAGGAGTACACAGATACCCCCAATTAACAATACATTATCAAAATTGATTTAGTAATGGACACTTTGGCTACACTGGTGAGTAGGACAAAGTCCTAGCCCTCATGAAGTCTGTTTACACAGTGATTCCTAAATTCAGAATCACTGGGGTGATTGTTAAATGCAGATTCCAAATTGTACCGCACGTCTGCTGAAGGAGAAACTCTGGGTGTGGAGGGAGCAGCTTGAGCGCAGGCATAAGGCAGGAAGCAGCATGGCAGGTGCAGGGATTTGTAAGAAGCTTGGTGCATTAGTCCATTCTCACGCTGCTGTTAGAACATACCTGGGACTGGGTAGTTTATAAAGAAAAAGAGGTTTAATGGACTTACAGTTTCACTTGGCTGGGGAGGCCTCACAATCATGACAAAAGGCGAAAGAGGAACAAAGGCACGTCTTACATGGTGGCAGACAAAAGAACGTGTACAGGGGAACTGCCCTTTATACCATCAGGTCTCATGAGACTTATTCACTATCACCAGAACAGCACAGGAAAAACCTGCCCCCATGATTCAGTTACCTCCCAGTGGGTGCCTCCTATGACAGGTAGGGATTATGGGAGCTACAATTCAAGATGAGATTTGGCTGGAGACACAGCCAAACCAAATCACTTGGTCTCCCTGGACCACATGATGTCAGGTTGCAGGAGTAACGAGAAGTGAGGCTGAGTAGTGGATGGGCTGGGCCATGGAAGTTCAGCTGTGCCCTGTCAGTAGCTGTGCTTTTTCCTAGAGACAGGAGCCCTGTTTGGTTTTTAAGTAGGGCAGCTTGTATCATATGTGAGTGCAACTTGTGTTGTGTATAGGATATTTTAGTAGGTGAAAGGAGCTTGCATTTGAGGCAGAGGCAGGAGGCCAGGTAGGAGACATTAACAGCAGTGCAGGTGGAAGATGGTGAAGGCCTGCACTGGCACAGTGGGTGAAGGAGGGAGAAGAGGAAATGGATGTGGAGGGTAATTGGGAGGCAGGCCCTGTGGAAGACGCAGAGTGGACTACGATAGTGGAGAATTCAAGAATTCCTTTGCTTTTGATTTGGAAGCGGAATGTTAAGACCATGAGTATTAGGGATTTCATGACTCAGGCTCACAGCTTCATTATTTATAAAATGAGACTTTGGATTTGAGAATTTCCTGAGTAACTTCCCAGCTAAAATTTCATACCTCAGGATTCAATGTTGTTTCTATAGTTGAATTGCCTTCTGTTTTACTTTATGGAAGTTAATGTTCTTCAGTCACCATTGCTATCTGCACTAGAGCAGAGGGTGGTAAGAGAGCAGCCTTGGTGTGTGTTTGGCCAAGCGGCGAGAATATCTTCTGAATAGTCCAGGTAGGGAAGTGAGCAACTGGAGATTTCTGAGGCTCGCCCTGCAATGTGGAGCAAGTTGCTTCTGTGTGGATCATAGTCAGCAGTGGAAATATGTTCATTATTTTGGAAATTTGGAAAAGTTACAGAAATGTAATTAGAAATAAATAAATCACACATATACACACCACATAGAGACAACTGTGATTAACAGTGGAATACATTTACTTCCAGCATTCGTTTTTTTATTTTTCTGAAGATACTGTGCTCGTTTGTTTCCATTTATTTGATTGCCCTTTCTTTTACTTTCATTTAACTTATCATTTTTGTTTTTTCCTTGCTGTGACAGAGCCTTCAGGTTAGCTTATGTCACAGTCAATAAAAGTATAATGAGGGGAAAATCACAAGTTTTTCTGCTTAATGGGAGTGTGGAAGGAAATAGCTAAAAGAAGTAAGGCAGTGTGAGTTAACTCACCTGTAGGCTAACCCACATGGTTACAGTGCCTTAGGAACAGAGAACCCTTAATGCGGAGTCTGTGTAAATGAGAAACACAAGATAGAGACTTCTGATTTTTCATCATGTCTTTTCTGCCTGCAGGAATTTCACTTTCGTTTTTGTTTTTGGTCCCAAGGGATCCAAATAACCACCAAATATTTCTTGGATTCCTGAGCTTCCCTTGAGGGGGAGTCAGGCAGAAGGAGTTCAGCTTTGGAGCCTCTCCCTGCAGGTGTCCTGGAACTCTTCTGAGGATAATGTCCCTGTCCTCCCGTCAGAACCTGCCATGTTGTATTTGTGGTCATCTCAACTCGGCTATTTTGGGTCCGAGACAGTAGCTTTGTGGGGCTATAGAACGGGTGCCATGCTGGCTCTGGGTGGGCATGTGTGACACTGGTCCCCTTTCCTTTGTAGCTGTGGTGCACCTGCCACAAGAAGTCCTTAGTGAAAACAGCATGCAGAAGGAGTCTAAAGGCCTTGAAGCTGAACTATTTGGACCTCTACCTCATACACTGGCCCATGGGTTTCAAGGTACCATTGAGTAGGTAGTTCATTCCGCGGTTTGCAGGACCTTCCTCCCCGTGGTTACACCCTGTCTTGCGGTGGGGAGAGCATGTACCAGCAATCAGGGCCGGGGTTCCCAGGCCGCACCTGCCACATGCTAGCTGTGGCATTTGGGCAGTCTCTGGGCCTCAGTTAAGGCTTGACCTCTGAGGCCCCCACAGGTCTGTCTTTTAAGCCAGTCACTTTTTTTCCAAGCCAAGAGAGCAGCAGGTTTTCTTCCCTTAGGTTTTTAGGTGAAAGCAGCGATCAGATGAGGAAATACTGCTGCTCAGAGAAAGTTCCCAGTGAATTCCTAGGCCTTGTCTCTGCTTGCAGGTTCTGTTCTCTTTGGAGAGTAAATGCTGTTTTGCAATATGAGAGATAATTGCTTGTTCACCTGCAGCAGGGTCCGGTGGGTTATGATGGTAGTTGACTTTTCCACTTGGTTTTATTCTCTTAATTGCTTCACAGTGTTTCTGGAGCACGCATCTGAGCCATGGCTCTGCCACTAAGCTACCCTAGTCTAGCCGTGTGGCTTCCCTACTCTAGGCAACCTGCTTCTGTCTCACACAGGTCCTGGCCAGGATGTCCCTGCACATTTGCCCCGGGCTGTGATGACAGCCTGCCTGGGCGAGGGCCTGGTCACACAGTTGACACCTGTGAAATAGAGAAGCCCTTCCAGGGATGTTCTTCCTACAATGGAATGGGTGCCTGCTGCTCAGGAGTCTTTTACAAACCAACCTGTGAGAAGTTCTCTTTATGCTGCCACACTGTTGGCTACTGTTTTAGAGTAAAATAACAAAAAACACTTCATTCCTTGCACAGCTTTACTTAACTAAGGCTTTGTATCTAGTTTCCATAAATGATGTGGGCAGCTGTCCATTAGTCACACTGACTAAGAGTGAAAGATAGCCAGAGGGCAAAACCAGAGTGATGTCTGTGTCTTTGAAATTCGCTGCATGCAGAAAATCATAATTAAAACAATGGCTATAGCTATATTACACTCAATGCCAGCCAGCATTGTTTTAATTATGTACCCAGAACTATTTTAGATGCTTTACACATATTCATTTAATTCTCATGACAGTTCTACAGAGTTGACACTATTAACATCCCTTTTGGAGAGATGATAAAACTAAGACACAGAACGTTGAAGGTTTAAGTTAGATTATTGGAGCCCAGAAGTATATGCTCAGGTCAGACATTTGTTACACTTTGCTTGCCCTCATCCTTTAGCAGATTCCTGTCTTTGGATTTCTGGGTGGTAGAAAAGGAAGAGGTCTCAGATCACCCAGCAAATTACAGAGGAGGATAATGCAGCATCGTCAGCATGTCTTCTGGCCAGTAGGAACTGCTAGGCCTTGTGTGATGCTGGACAATTAGATCAGAGACCGACTATGAGTCCCGGGCTGCAATTTTGTGGAGGCTTGGATAAATGTCAACATGGGATGTGGCTTTAAAGCGAGACTGTTCATTACTTCAGCTCATCATGGAAAATGCCTCTTGCATGTGGACCAGGCTGGAACATGTGACATTTTTCCACTGTTGCTTAGGAGTGTGATTAGGTGTCATTAAATAATGACATTCACCATTAACACGCCATGTGGAGTGCATGAGGGAGGTAGCTGGACTGCACATCAGTGCTGCTCTGAAGGGTGACTTTAGGGTCTCGCCCTTTCAAGGTGTCTTTCTCTGCCCCTACCTGCTGTGTACCTTTGTATACTCATTCCTCACCTGTCCTCATCATGGGGATTCTAAGAAAAGAAGACAAGACCCTAACAGTGGAGGTAGGAGAGGGTTGACTGGGCCCTATAAGACATGAAGAAAATGCATTCCTCACGCATTCTTTACCCGAAATTAGTAAACTGTTTTCTGGAGGCGATGGGAGAGGACAGCCTTGCATCAGTGAGAATACGGGGTCGAGAGATGGACAGGGAACATCAGGCTGGCAGAGGCTTTGCCAGCCATCCAGTCCATCAGCCATTGGTCTTTTCTTAGAAAGGTGAAGACTGGGCCTGGTCACATGGCCAGGCTGGGGTTGCTTAGTGACAGGGCCGTGGCTTGGATGCAGGTCTCCTGACACATGTTTGTTTGTTTGTTTGTTTGTGTTTTTCACACATCTCAATTGTCCTTCTTCACAGCCTCCTCATCCAGAATGGATCATGAGCTGCAGTGAACTTTCCTTTTGCCTCTCACATCCTGGAGTGCACGACTTGCCTCTGGACGAGAGCGACATGGTCATCCCTGGTGACACGGACTTCCTGGACACGTGGGAGGTGAGCTGAGCCATACCACCAGGCAGCCTCATCCTGTGTGGGTCTCCACCCAGGATGCAGTGAGCCCCGAGCTACTTGTGTTCAAAGACATCAAGGTTGTCTTCCTGGCATGTGGAGTTTGCAGAACAAACAAGGAACCAATACCCAAAGAACTCAGAGACCTCAGTGACTTTCTTGTTACCTTTGGTTTGGTGTAGTGCAGCCCTCTTGATACATTATTTAAGGGGTAGCTCATTATAGACCTCACGTTTTTTCTCAAATATTTATTTTTTGATTAAAAAACCGTATTTCTTTCAGAAAATGCAGGAGAGTTCTTTCATATCAAACTAACATCAAAAAATTTATTTTCCCGGTACCCAGCAGTTACCACTGTTAATGTTTTAAGTTTCTTTTTCTCTCAGGCATTTCAGAGTGATGAAGTTGGCAGCATGGAAGCTCAGGCTGGGGAGGCTAGACCAGTGTTGGGGAAGGTTACCAAGTGTCAGCCCATTTCCAGAGTTGAGACCAAAAACAGCCCTTTACTTCAGGGGCTTGCAGTAAAGTCTTGAGCAGGAAATTAAGGAGGTGGTGGTTCCTGGAAGTTGACCCACAGGCTGGCGTGGGTCTCAGACTTGGGCTCCAGCATGGCTGACAGAGCACGTCTGGTCTTATGGTCTTGCTAACCAGCATGTGGGATGGGACGTCACATTTGAGGCCCAAGAAGAAAGTAAGCTTAAGCTTAAGCATGCTGAGGTTAGGACAGAGCTTGCTGGGTGAAGCTCTCCAGGAAGGAGGCCAGAGGGAACCCTCGAACAGGGAGGAGTCCCAGGCTAGGCTCCCCCGATCAGTAGAAGACAAAGACTGCCCTAAGGTATCTGCAATGTCAGGACCAAGGCCCATGGGCCTCAACCCTTTCTGTCACACTGTTTTATGTCCTAAAAGATCTGGGTTAAACTCTAGGGTGCTCATGTAGCACCAGCGAGGTTCCGGTGATTGTTGCAGAGTTGAGGCAGTAACTGACTGCTGCGTGTTGGCCCGTTGGTCACTCAGGACTTGCTGCTGACTACGGACCCTGGCACGAAGCCATGCTCTTCCTGAAGCTCAGGGGCAGCCTGGCTTGCTGGTCAGTAACCAGCTCAGAGCTTTAGGTTGCTCTGCCCAAAAGTTCCTTAAAATAGTAAGTGGAGAAGGTGGGATAGGAGAATGATGATGCATCTGTGTGCTTAAGAAGGTCAATGTCTCAGTGGAAAGAAAGGTGAACAAATAAAATCCGCAGCAGACATGCTGGCCAGACATCAGGAGGAATAGGAACAAGAAGAGCTCACACGTGTCGAGTGCTGGACGCCAGCCTTAGATGACGCATTCTGTGATTCCACATAACCCCTAAACATCCCCGTGGCACAGGTAGTGTCGCCCTGTCCTGAAGCTGAGAAAACTGGGGCCAAGTGAGGTCATGCAACTTGCCCAGCATCCCCTAGCCAGGAAAGATGGGACTGGAATCAGACCTTGAGTGCAGAAATGCTTTTGAAGCTTCAAGTAAAATATTATAAAAATATTGGGTGCAACCAGTTTTAGAATACCATACGGAACTGCTGAGGGACATAGATTGTCAGTGCAGTAGACAGAAGCTTCACACCCAGCGGAGTCATTGTTCTGTTATAGGCCATGGAGGACCTGGTGATCACCGGGCTGGTGAAGAACATCGGAGTGTCAAACTTCAACCATGAGCAACTTGAGAGGCTTTTGAATAAGCCTGGGTTGAGGTTCAAGCCTGTAACCAACCAGGTAAGCCGATGGAAGCATCAGAGAGTTTAACTTGTGTGGCTGGTCCACCAGCTGCCACTTCTGTAGGGCTCTTCTGGAAATGGGAGGATGGGTGAAGCACAAAACAGGCCTATTCTCCTCTGCCAGCACTCAGAATGGTGACTAAAGGCAGCAGCTAGCCAAGTGGCTTTCTTGAAGGTGCGTCTGGGTAGGTGGTACTGTTGGCAGGCAGGGCATGAGCTGGCACTTGGCCCTCCATGTGCGGTACAGGCAGGTCACCAGGTGTGCTCAGAAGTGGTTAGGGTCCTGGCAGGGGCCTCACCCTCATTCGGGAGCATGGATCTCCCCTCCGTCTCTTCCCAGCCTGCAACCTGCAGCAAGAAAGAGTGGATGACCAGATGGCTTCACGCCAGGCTCACAGGCTGCTGAAGCTGACGCAGGCACTTCGTTTTTTTTTTTTTTTGAGACGGAGTCTCACTCTGTTGCCCAGGCTGGAGTGCAGTGGCGCGATCTCGGCTCACTGCAAGCTCCGCCTCCCGGGTTCCCGCCATTCTCCTGCCTCAGCCTCCTGAGTAGCTGGGACTACAGGCGCCCACCACCACGCCTGGCTAATTTTTTGTATTTTTAGTAGAGACGGGGTTTCACTGTGGTCTCGATCTCCTGACCTTGTGATCCGCCCGTCTCGGCCTCCCAAAGTGCTGGGATTACAGGCTTGAGCCACCGCGCCCGGCCGGCACTTCGTTTTTTAATGCAGAGAAAAGACTTGTGGGGAAAGAACTACTGTATTTTCTAGACTAGCTTTGTATGTTCAAAGATCATTTATACGGTACTTAAGCTTTTTATTGAAGAGTAGAAGTGCACATGTGAAAATGGAACTGTATACATTCTCATAAACTGAGCATAGCTCTGGGACCAGCATCCAGCTCAGTAAACAGCACATCCAGTGACCCTGTAACCCCTGCCGAGCACAGCATCGTTCCCATTCCCAGCAGCTGGGATTCACTTCAGAACTTTACACAGATAAAATAATGATGTGGCATAAACCCCTCTGTGCTCGCCGCTTTTCACACAGCGCTGTGTTTGTATGCATGGGATTGTAGATAGTGCTGTCTTATTTCTTGTGGTATTCTGTTTTGTGAATTAACCACAATTGAGTTATCCATTCTGCTGTTAATGAGTACTTGGACAGTTTCCAGTTTGGGACTATTAAGAATAGAGCATCACGTTCTATTTTTTAAAATAAATAACGCTTTTTAAAAAAGTTCTATACAGAATAGATGCACAAAAGTGTGCGAATCATAAAAGGCATACATAACTTGATGAATTTTTGCAAGTGAACAAACTCAAGTATTCAGCACCCAGAACAAGGAAAAGGCCCTCAGCCATTCAGTAGCTCCCCTGGGTCCTGTTGTGGCCGCCACCATGAAGAGCAACCTGGCTTCTGACCCAGCTTCTAATGTAGTTTAACTTTGCCTTGTATACAATCCTATGTACGTAAGTTTTTATATATGTTTATATGGATAGTAGCTTCCGTTTTGTGTCAGTTTTTGTAGTTGTTCAGCACTTTAAATACCTGGGAATGGTTATGGCATAGTCTGAGTAGACAAGGTGGAGTGGAGGGTCTGCTTTCTGATAGGATGATGGACACCCAGGAACACAGGATTCAGAAGGCTCCAGAAGGCTGGCATCTCTTGGAGGCTTTCCAAAGAGGCTGATCTTGATGAGTGTGGCATGTTCCTGAGAGCAAAAGCACTATTCATAGTTCTCTGTAATTTACACTAAATATTTATTTTAAATATCCCTATAACCTGGAATTATATATGAGAGTTTGGAGAATGTGCAAGAGACAGTGATCCTGCTCTCTAGCTGCTTAAAATGATCATTCAAGTCACCGGTAGCAGGTGTTTGTCACATGTAGTTCCTCAATTTGATTCATTTACTCAGTGGATGTATTTTTAGCATTCCTACGTGTCTACATTGTTCTTAGTGTTGGCAAGACATTATGAACAAAACAAATTCAAACAAAAATCTCTATCTTCATGAGGCTTATATCTTGGTGACCACAGAAAGACAATAAGCAAATAGTAAAAGTGATAGTGATAGGTGCTGTAGAGGAAAATAAAGGCCTGGGGAGATGGGAGCTATGGAGTGTTACAGTCTTCACTTGAGTGCTCCGGGAAGGCCCCGCAGAGCAGGTGGTATTGGAACATTCAGATGATGTAGGCGTCCCCAAGGCCATGGACTCAGAGACCATGACAGCCGCTGGCCTCTTGGCGATTGCTCTGTCCAGCCTCCTCACAACAGAAACACTTACGCCTGGAGCTGGCCCCCATGGCTACTCAGTGACAGCCAAGACTTTGACGCAGGTCTTCTCTTGTAGAGCTTTTCTTGAACACCAGTGGTCTGAATTTTATGTAAGCTGTGATTCTGTTATAGATTGAGTGCCACCCATATCTTACTCAGAAGAATCTGATCAGTTTTTGCCAATCCAGAGGTGTGTCCGTGACTGCTTACCGTCCTCTTGGTGGCTCGTGGTAAGGATACATCAATGGTGTGTTAGTCAGAGTCCGACTGGGAAGTAGGTGCCACCTTCTCATTTCCTTGGGATGATTGAGGGAGGATTTAATGGAGATTTTGACAGGGTGTGGAGGGATGGGACCACAGGGGGCTGTCCACACCTCTCAAGCCTGGGGTTGAAGACATGGCTTATTATTGGAAGCCAGGGAGTGGCTGTGAGTGGACTGCCATGGGAGGGGCAGGACCTCTTCAGGGACATAAACCAGCCTGGAGTGACCTCTTTGCTGAGTTCCCCACCAGGGCGTCAGTCCCCTTCTGACCTCCTGACAAGGATGCTCCCCAGGTCTCTCCGTGGTTGGATGAGGCACAGCCTGCTGTCATCCTTACCCAGGCCCTGCAGCTGTTCTGTGCTCCCTCGATCAGCTAAGGGACCTCCAGCCATTCAGCCACCTTAACCAGAAGCTTGGAAATCATCCGTCCCCACATCCCTAGTCCAATCCAGCACCAAAGTCTGTTGATTATTCTGCCAGGAGAAGTTGGACTTTGTGTCATGATTTCATTTCTGCCATCACTGTCACTGCCTTAGTTAAGTAGAATTCCCGAGGTCCTTAGAGGAGCCCCTCGGCTCCCTCCCTGGCCCCCTCTATTCCAACCCATTGCTCCCAGAGGAAGCTGAAAGGAGCTGTCTCTTTCCTTTCCTGTGATCGTATCACTTTCCTGGGAAAAATTATTCAGGTCTTGGTGTGGCCTGTGAGATGCAGCCAGCCTGACCTCTGCCCGCCTCTGGCCTCATTCGTCCCTATCCCTGTGAACATCCCGGGCTTCAGCCACATGAAGCTGTTATGGGGTCCTTGGATAGAACATGTTTTCTCACCTCTGTGCCTTTGCAAATACAGTTCTCTTTACCCACAAATCTTTTTTTTTTTAATCTGGCAAACTCCAGTTTCTAATTTAAGGTTCAGTCCATTCCAGCATCATCTCCTCCAGGAAGCCCTCCTGACCCCTCATTTATGTTTCTTACACAGCCCCTGTCACATTGTCTTGTGATTTTCTTCTCAGTCTCTTCCACTAGTCAAAGCAACCAGCGTGCAGGTATCTTATTTATTCTTCTCTTCCCAGCTCCTAGCTCAGCACCTGGGAAACATTGGGAACCCCCAAAAGGCTGAAATTACTTGACTTTTATCACCTGTGTGTTTTCCTTGTGAAGTGGGGCATGTGTGTTTGAACTTGGTACCAGCTGGAAAGTCCCTAGAAGGCTGGGTCCGTTCCATAGCTGAGCTTTGGGGTAGAGGATCCTCTGATGGAGTGAGTCAGGGAGCTCTCAGACTGACTGGGGCGGGCCACTGTGCGCTCTGTTTGGTTCCTTCAGGAGACCTTGAGGATAATAATAGCACAATGCCTGAAACAGGGTGATGGCTCAGTACACACTTGTTGAAAAAATGAATCCTTAGAGTTCTCAGGGCCCACCCGAGCCTGAACAGAGGATGCATAGAGACTCTATGATCATCTTCAAAACCACTTTTAAAGGTTCCACATGCTCACAGTATTCACTTTTTAGTGGTATTTTGGGTGAACTTTTCTGAAAGTGTCATCATCAACAAATACCGATTTGCAGCGCTGTGCCAGGGCGTACAGTAGAAGCTGCGAAGTCAGAGAGCCCTGAGAGTCAGGGGGCGTCAAAGCTTGAGAGCCCACTGGCTGCGTGCGCTGACATGGCCACCTGGTTCTTGAGGAAAAGCACAAAATACACATGAAAAGTGATGTTATGTAGCCCTGTTCACCGAAGTGTTAGCAGTGGTTATCTCCAGACTAGAACTGTGGGGTGATGTGCTTTTCTGCATTTAAAAATTTCCTATGGTCAGCATGTGTCATGATCAGAAAATAAATCTTTCATTTTGGACAAAGATTTCTTCTTTCTAAAGAAAGGGACATCCATGTTGGATCTCCTGGCTCACCCCCCTGTGCTGTCTCTCTAGTGAAGGGGTTGACCTGATAGATGACCCTGTGATCCAGAGGATTGCAAAGGAACACAGCAAGTCTCCTGCTCAGGTACTGAGGGAGGGCTGTTCCGAGCCAGGTGGGGTTCTCTGACGACTTCACATCCTTGCGGAGTCCTGGGGCTTGGCAGGTCCCAGGAAGGGATTGGCTCACCCAGGTGAGTCTATGACTCATTAGACCCTCCCAGCGTTCAGCAGAAGTTGGTCTGCAGCCCCATTCCCAGTCACTCAAGCCATGTACTCTTGTCTCCAAGCCTGTCTAGACTCAGAGGAAGAGCTTCCAGGCCTCCCTCTGCCCCACCACCTGCATGCATGGTTAGTATGAGATGGAACAGAAAAGTTATTTAGTCTAGTCTTCTTTGTTCTATCATCTAGTGGGAGGGCTGGGCGCATGTTAAGGAATTCTCATTAAGCAGATTCTGTTGACCTCCTCCTTGGGCTGATGGCTGTCATTACCAACATATTGACAGAGCTGCTCAGTAAATGCCAGTAACAGTAACTGCTGTCATTGACTCTTGGACTCTTACTGCACCATAAAACTCACGGTGTTAGCAAATAACTTAGACTACATGGGATTTCCCTTTGTGTGATAGTAGACTTTTTGTTTCCTTGCAGATCTTGATCCGATTTCAAATCCAGAGGAATGTGATAGTGATCCCCGGATCTATCACCCCAAGTCACATTAAAGAGAATATCCAGGTAGGTGTTTTCCTTCTTTTATTTAGAGGGTTTCAGATCGTGTGTTAGATGGGAAGGGATGACTGCTGTAGCACACAGCCTCAGGATCGCGGGGCTCGATGCAGCAGGGTCCTCTGCCTCTGCACTGAGGGTGTTGGTGGCTGACCTTTCACTCAGCGATCCAAGGACCCAGGCTCCTTCCATCTTAGGGCCCTCTCTCCCCTAGGGTGTTGGTGTCTTCTCCATCCAGCCCAAGATGAGGAAGGAGGGAAGAGCATCTTATTGGAAACATTTGTATGGGCAAGGCTTGAGCATGTGCATCAGTCACATGGCTGCGCTGGCCCGCAGGGGAGGCTGGGTGTCTCCTAAGCATGTGCTCAGGAGAAAGGGGAGGCAGTTGGTGGACAGGGTGCCACCTTCTGTCACGTGGAGGTGTGCCCACGTGGCCTGAGGGCACTGCTTTGAGTTGTGTGGGAAGGGTCTGGTCCTGACTCCTGTCTAGTGACTTCCGAGAGGCAGGAGTGAAGACTGGCGTGTGAAATCTATTTTTGGAGCTATGGGAAGGAACTGTGTGTGGTTTCAACCCTGACGACATAGTCTATAACCCAGTCAGGGTCATGGACTTGGGATTCCCACAGGCCCACTCACAATTTAACTGCTGCATAACCTCTCTAAGCCTTCGTTTCTTCATTAGAGCACCCTCTGATAGGATCACTGTGAGGGTGAAATGTAATGATATAGTGAAGGGGTGGCATAGTGCCTGGCTTATGGAAGTACCTGATGCTCTTAGCTGCCAGTCACCCCCAGTCACGGATGTCACCCGTAACGATCTCACAGGCAATGACAGGCATTGGTGGCAGCCCACAGCCATTGATCATTTCGGCACAGGTGTGTGTGAGCCTGGGGCCAGCTGCACAGCTGCATTTCCATAGACAGCATGTGCCCAGGAGTGTCCCTCTGGGTGTCCGAACTGCCTATGAGCTCCACGAGGCACTGCTGTATCCTCAGGGCTCTGTTTGGTTGTGCCAAGCAAGCATTGCCACCGGAGTTTATTGACTGACCCATCTGTAGCAGTGCCTGTGCCCTCAGTCTCACTGTGCATGCCAAGCTGGCTGCCGGTGGGCATAGCCCTGCCATTGACAGGAGAGACAGGCCACCCACGATGGGAGGACCCGGGGATGGGCAGGCTCCTCAGGGTATCCACAGCGCTCTTCCTGCTGGGCCCTTGTCCAGCTCACCTGCTCCCCGCATGCACTTCTCTTCTTTCTCAGGCATCCTGCTCTTTGAATAGCCCAGAGCAGCTCTGGGTGACCAGCCAACCTTAAACCTGAAAAGTGTGGATTTGGCTGAGCTGTAAACTCAGTTCTCTCCAATGGCTATTGACAGGCCTCTTGGAATGAGGCTGCAGGTCTCTTGTAGTGGTTAGAATTTAGCATTGCTGACTGACTGGCATCTGCTCCACATGGGGGCCTGGTCTAAGGTGCCCTCTGTGCCCTGCAGGGCAGCTAGGATTGCCCCTGGGAGGACATAGGCTGGGGATGATTATCTGACCCTCCCATGGGAGGAGCCACTGAGTAAGCAACTCAGCAGGTGGCAGGGGGCCGCATCTGCCCCAGTTCTGCCCTCGTGGCTCTCAGTGCCTGGGATGGGATCCCCATGGCCTAGTGGCAGTGAATGTGAAACAGGGACCACAGACCCAGCTGAGATGCTCCCATTCCTCTATTAGGTCTGCTACACACTGAGGGGAAATGCCATCCCCAGGCAGTGAGACAGGACCAGGCTGACATGAGACCTGAGGGCCAAAGCAGAAGTGACAAAGCAAAGCTAAGGGCTGAGCACAGAGAGCAGCAGCGGGTTAGGAGGGGCTGGAGGAAGTGCTCATGCTGTCAGGAGGAGGTGGGAGCCGGGGAGAAGAAAGACACCCAGTGGCGCAGGCACAGGGCTCCCAGTGCAGGGTGCTGCCCCGGCCCGCCTCCTGTGGCCCCAGTGCCTCTCAGAACTGCTGCTGCAAGGCTGCCTGCCCTTTATAGGGACTCTTCTAGAACTGCTCACGATTCCCTTTAAACCCAAGAATCCCCCTACCCCAGCCCCAGCACTCCTCACTCCCTCCAGATGACACGCTGAGGCTACCTTCTCCTGGCCTCAGGAGGGGGAGGCTCTTGTGGGGGAGAGGCTGAGGTTCTCCAGGTCCTTGCACTGGAATCACTCAGTGCACCCCTCCTCCTACCGCAAGACAGCCACTCTGCCAGGCCAGGGTGGGCGCTGATGCTGTAGCCATGGGTCCTATTCCTCAGTGTGTGGGGACAACAAAAGGGGAGGGACGGGCAGAAAAGAATACTGTTTTCAAGGAAGAAAAATGGATCACTCAGAAAACTTACTCTGTGATATGGTACCGTTAGAGTTCATAGTCCCAGGGCCAAGTGGGTCCTTAGTTGGCAGGTGTATGGAACAAATGGTTTTGTTGGGTTTTTGAGGGGTAGCAGAGTCAGTGGGAAAAATTCTGTGCCTTTTTTTTTTTTTTTTTGAGATAGAGTTTCACTCTGTCATCCAAGCTGGAGTACAGTGGTAGTGTGATCTCGGCTCACTGCAACCTCCACCTCCTGGGTTCAAGCGGTTCTCCTGCCGCAGCCTCCTGAGTAGCTGGGACTAGAGACACATGCCACCTCATCTGGCTCATTTTTTTATTTTCAGTAAAGATGGAGTTTCACCATATTGGCCAGGCTGGTCTCCAACTCCTGACCTTGTGATCCGCCCATCTTGGCCTCCAAGTGCTGGGATTGGAGTGAGCCACCGCACCCAGCCGCCATACCTTTTAACTATTCCCACTTGTCCTTTATTCCACTAAGATGAGTGCAGTATATATTTCCATCTTTCCAAGGCTTCCTAAATGTAGCCAAGGCCAAGCCAGCACCAGTCACATGATCAAAATCAAAGGGCGTTTGGGGAATCCAGGCTGTGATTCAGGGAAGTTCCAAGTGTCTGATGAAGTGTTTGTTTCACATCTGTGTGTCCCTTGCAGGTCTAGCACAGTGCTCTGTAGGCAACATGCGCTCCATGAAATGTGAATTAAAGTTGAGTTTTCTACAAACATTGTGTTTTGGTTCCAGGTGTTTGATTTTGAGTTAACACAGCACGATATGGATAACATCCTCAGCCTAGACAGGAATCTCCGACTGGCCACATTCCCCATGTAAATATGACTCCTTCTTTTAAAAATAGAGGGAAGAATGTACAGATTGGATGATTGGTGTCTGAATAGGTATTTATCATACACATTTTAAATTAATTAAACCTTCTCATTGTAATTCTTTTCCTGTTTGAAGGTGGGCCACTGAATGAAGCTAATTTCACGCACTGGGGAGTTTAAAAGTGTATAACTGTATCATTTAAAATGTTTCTCTTAAAAAATAATCACTCGTTTCTATTTTTGATTTGTTTTTCTGTTTTTCAGAACTAAAAATCACAAAGACTATCCTTTCCACATAGAATACTGAGGACAGCTTCCCATTCCTTGTTTCTGCTCAGCCCAGATGCACCAACGCCATTGGTGATGTTGACCCTTCTCTGTCATCACAGCGCCAGGGCAGCTGTGCCTGGGATGAGAGCCACACAGTCAGGGGGGCTGCAAGAGCCGCCTTCTCTGACACATCTGGAGAATTGAGTGTGTTCTAAGTGAAGGCAATGGGGTTTCTCCAGGACAGCCTGTGTGGCCTCTACTCTGAAAAAAGACACTGATGATTGATCAATGAAATTTGCCTTCACATTTTAAGAAAACTTTATCTTACGGAATTATTGAAGCCATCTGCAGAGCTGAGGAAACAGTGTAATGTGTCTCTGCCCCATTGCCCAGCTCCACCAATTGTGCCCCAGGCCAGCCCGTGTCACCTTCACTTCCTTCTCTGCCCTGCCAATGACCCCCAGGTTATTCTAAAGCGGAGTCCTTCCCTTCCCCCATTGGGAAGTGAAATGGGGTAAGTCTGGGACACTGTCAGAGTTCAATAAAGAGGCTTTTTTCTTCCTTAAAAATCTGAATTTTTTTTTTTTGGAGACAGTCTCACTATGTCTCCCAGGCTGGAGTATAGTCAAGTGATCTCGGCTCACTGCAACCCCCGCCTCCTGGGCTTAAGTGATCCTCCTGCCTCAGCCTCCCAAGTAGCTGGTTAATTCCTAAATACTAGTTATTAATGTGGTCTTCTGATAAGTCAGATTATACCTGGGGAACCCCCATAGCGGATATGAAACACAGTTCACTTCCTCACATCCGCTCATTCAGCCTGTTTAGATTCATGTATCAGAAGGAGGCCCTGCAGAGCATGGTGTTCATGCCCAGGCGTTGGTAGAGGGTATGGTTTAATGGACTTCGTATGGTCCAGACGCTGTGATCCCTGTCCTTGCTGTCTGCTCAGCGAATCTGGCCTAGCTCCTGTACCCTGGGATTCACATGAATCTCCAGGGATATAACTTCTCAACTCATAGGCCCTTGGCTGCTATTCAAAATGAATTAAGCCAGAAGGAAATTGATGTCTGCTCCATGGTCTCTTCCCACTTCCTGCGTTCCCCACCTCAGCCTCCATACGAGCCTCTCATTTCCTCCTCATATCAGGGAAGATATGGAGGTGTTGCCCAGTGGCTGAAGGGGACTATTTGGGGACAGTACCCTCCACATCACTTCCCATTTTCACTTTATCACAGGCAGGCCAGCTGAGTCAGATATGTGGGTTCTGCAGATAAAAGCTGTGCCTTTCTAGCTCTGTGATTCTGAGCAGACTGCCTCACCTCCCAGCCCTCAGTGTCCTTGTCCACTCAATGGAGGAACTGCAGCACCTCCCGGTTGTGGAGACAGTGTCTGGCCCAGGATATGTCCCAGCAAGAATGCATTGTTGCTACGACCAGTATCATTGCCATTGCCTTGTTCCTCAGTTTCTCATCCACCTCCCTGCCCAGCCTTCCAGATGTTCAGGGGCATGTAGGAACCTTCTAGCTTGGCCTCAAGAGAGGACTTCGCTGCAGGCGTCCCAAAACGAAAAGACATGTGACTGGTGCAAGAGCTTCATGGAAGCCTCACCCTCGTGGGAGTAGGATTGAGGGTGAGGTATCATGGTTTGACCAAATTTCCAAGGGGCGTTTAATCAGAAGACTGTTTACAAAGGACGCAGGAAATGGGAGGGTCTTTGGACCTTCCTGTGATCAGGCCCTGCTCCACCACTATGGACCTTTAATTTTTCCATGTTCATGACTTCTTATCATTCATTAGCTGTGTGACTTTGTGCAAATTCCTTAACTTCTTAAACCTTTAAACTCTTTGTCACTGTCTGCCTAGAAGTGTTAGGATTCAGTGGCACAGTGCACATGCAGCAGGTGACAGTCATCTGCATGTAGCACTCCTGTGAACATGTGCGTGTGTAGGTGTGTGACTTGTATTTTATCTCCCACAGAGTCAAAAATCTAACTGCTGTTTTGTGAATTTTCCTTGTCACTTATACCTAAACCGTCGTTCATTGACCTTAAAAGTAGAGAGTAGAATGGTGGTTGCCAGAGGCTGGGGAGCGCAGGGGTGGATGGCTGATGAGAGGTTAGTCAGCAAGGACAAAGTTGCAGTTGGGAGGAATGAGCCCCAGCGCTCCATTGCACAGTAACACAAGTTGGTTAACAATAATAGGTCATGTGTCTCATGATAGCTGGCCAATGAGGATCCACTACGGTATTTGCATTTCATGGATTTACTTCCAACAGGCATGAAAACTGAGTGAAGCCGACCACCAGGTGGCGCTGGGAAGCACTTAATGTTCCAGTGCATCTGCGACTCTTAACAGGAGATGGCGGGCTTTTACTGTCTGATTTTAAGACGTCTTCAACTTTGCACAGTCACAGTGAGGAAGGAAGCAATGGATAGTAAAAATAAGCAAACACTGGGCAATTGCAGAGCTTAAAAAGTGTCACAGAGGTTATGCAGCCTCATTCTTGAGCAGTATTTCCCAGTTCCCTTTTCAGATGGTAATTGATAACTCGGTCCCTCTTGTCTGTTCATCCTGAGTGGAGCTGACAAGCCGTCGCCTTCCTCGGTTCCCTGCTTTTCTCTAGGAAATGTGACTTCTGTGTAAGTTCTTCCCCAGTCTGGGGCCTGGAGATGAAGGTCCATAGAGGATGTGTAAACGTGTGCCCTTAAGGGACCCTCTGCGTCAAATGATTGCGGGCATCTCTCCTGACTTTAAGACTGGGAGATACTCAGATACTCGTTTCAGTAGCTGCTTCTCCTCATTGGCACTTACTTTATTTGAATGGAAAATCCAAGGATAAGTGGCAATCAAAGGCTTAAAAAGCTGGAAACAGATTCAGGAGGTGTGGATGGGCATCAAATGGGCATCAAGGAGCAAGAGACCTTAGGGAGGATGGCAGGGGCTCACTGACTGATGGCAGGGACTCGCTGACTGATGGCAGTTTATGTTTGATTGTTCTGAGAAACTGCAAACTGTTTCCGAAAGTGCACAGGCTTACAGTCTCATCAGCAATGTGCGAAGTTCCGGTTTCTCCGCACCCTCGCCAGCATTAGTTTTGGTCTGCTCCTGTTGTTGTTACAGCTATTTTAGTGGGTGTTAAATGGTGTCTCATTGTGGATTTAATTACAATTCCTTACTGCCTAATGATCTGAGCATCTTTTCATGTGCTTATTGGCCATTTGTATGTCTTTTGTGAAATCCCCCATGGCATTCCTATGGATTCACTGTGGTGCCGCAGGGTGACTATGTGCACAGTCTTAGAACTGTGCATTTAGACACTATTTGTTAGTTCTCAACTTTAATCAATGATAAAATTTGCATTTTGGCATATTTTTATTTCTCCATCTTTTCTCTTTCTTCCATTTCTCCATTTCTTCACACAGACATCTAATATGCACCTTAAACTTTATGTGTCTGAAACAATGCTTCAAGCACAACCCCAGCTCTCCAACGAGCTTTCTTTATTGTTATTCCTTAGTTATAAAGATGAGGAAGGCTGGGTCTTGCCCTTAAACACCCAAGTTGAAATGGGACAGGCAAGCATGTGGAGGTGATCACAGTACAGTGACATGTGACTGGCTCTGGCTGGGTTTGGGCACATTTTCATTTTATATCATGAAATTGATCAAGACCCTGCGTCTTCATTGTGTTTCCTTTTTCTTGTTATGCAGCATGTTTTCACAAGACTGGATTCTTTCACGTACCCATACACTGGGGCAAATCAACTATCCAGACCTAGGTTAGCAACATTAGATGATGTGACATCCACCGTGCCGTGGTCATTGTCACTCCTGGTTGGATTCTGCCCTGGGCAGAGAGGGCTAGTGGGTGTGACTCTAGGCCCAGTTTCCATGGCCTGGCAGTCCTCACTAGGAGGCCAGTGCTGGACTGGAAGCCTGTCTTCACCAACTGGTTTCTGGTGCTTTGAACACATGGAGATCAAGGAAAACTACAATTTTTAGTGTGCATTTCTGTCACATATGGCCTCTGTCACTTAGAATTATATCCGTGCTCCAACACCAATCCCTCCCTAACATTAGCTAGTTCTAACACGATGCTTTCTGTGTGCCAGGTACTATTCTATAAGTATGTTACACATTTTAACTCAGTCTTCACAGAAAGGTAGGATTTACCATGATTTCCATTTTATAGATGAAATAACCAAGGAATAGAGAAGTTAAGTAAATTACCCACAAATACCCAGATAGTAAAGTGATGTAAGTAGAATTTGACTCGGGAAATCTGGCTTCAGAGGCTGGGCTCTTAGTTACCATGTGGGAAACGGTTAACTATGCACTCTTTATGTTGAAATTAATCTTTTTAAACTATGTAAATAAGAGGGTGATTCTTGGTGTTGATCTCCTGAGAAGATAGGACATATTCCACCCCCCAGGACTGGCATGTGGCCCAGTGGCAGTGCCAGAACCTTTGAACACACAGCTCTATTCCATGTGACACCAGTGGAAAACGAAGCATTTCTTGGCAGTGTTGATGAGTATTTGGATGAAAAAAACAGAAGAGCTCATTAAACCTGTAAAACTCTGTTCCAGAGGTGACCAGCATTACTTCCCCTGGGAAATCACTGAAAAACAATTACCCTGAGACACAGATTGGTGAGTCACATGAATTCAAGCCATTCTATGCTTAATTTACTTCCAGCCCTGATTTTAAACAGAGGAAGTATATTTAAACCCAGAAGGAGATACGGAAACAGCAGTTTCTTGGCTAGAAAAATTAGCATCTCTAGGGAGAAGTGGAAAAGTCTCAAACAGCTGAAGAGCGTGAAAAAGGCTCCTTCTCTTGTCAAGATAGATCACAGCCCTCGTTAGTGAAGAAGATTCTACAGGCAGAAAGGGCCCTGAACAAATGCCCGGCAGCAACAGAAACTGTGGTGCAATTAATTCTTGTAAAAAGTAAGATAGAAGTAGCTCCATCAATGGAAGGAGAATACAGTTAGCTAGAGACTACCTAAAACAAGAGAATCTCTGAAATTAAGTTAGATTAAGTTGGATTGAGTAGTGACAGCTGCAGGGACAGACCTTCACCACTGTGCCACCCCACCGGGTGTCTAATGAATTTATGTGAAGCAGGTTAGGAAAATTGGCAAGCAGAAAATACAACAGAGATGGATGGGCAAGGTCTGCTGGAATTGCTACTGCTTTTTTATTTTCATTTTATTTTGTCGTTCTAAAAATATTTTATTTTATTTTATTGGCTTACATGGCAGAAATTTGTTTTCTCACAGTTTTGGAGGCCAGAAGTCTAGGGTCAAGGTGTTAACAGATTTGATTTCTTCTAAGGCCTCTCTCCAGAACTTTTCCTTCTGTGTCCTCACGTGGTCTTCCTTCTGTGTGAGTCTTGAGGGCTATTTTAAAGCCGAAGAGATAAAAGAGGTTGTGGGGCTATGTCTTAAGACAAAAGAACATTTAGGAAACCTCAGGAAATGATCAGAGGGGGATAGATGTTACTAGAAGAAACAAATAAATTGGATTCAATTAAGAGTTGGAATCATTTACAAAGCAATGGGGA